CTGGGAGGGGCTCCTCGCTCAGCGCTGCGGTGTCCACGGTGGACGGTGGCGCCACCATGTGGTCCTCCGCAGGACTTTGATCTGTGCCCGTCAGCTCGGGCATCAGTTCCGACTGAAGAGGCGTGTCCGACTGGCCCTGGGTGGGCGGGGTCTGTCAGAGGTCAGAATAAAAAAAATAAAAACAAACTGACATTGTCAATGAAAGTTGATAAACACGTTGGTTCATACGTTACGAAAGACATCACTTTGACCAAAAATTTTCTACAATATTCATAACGTTTTCAAAGTAGTACATTCTCAGGTTGGGGGAAATTACATGTTTTTTTTTCTGGCAGAAAGAGCCTTACTTTTCTTTATAAAAAAAATGTAATTCTTGAATTCAGTGACAAATGGTCAGAGATTATTCTTAGGGAAATTCTCTGTCGCCCCGCCTTCACCTGTACCCTCGACCCTCCAACCCATCCACTCCCCCTCAAAATAAATCAAAAAGCAGACAGACAAACACTTTTACCTGAAAGAGGAAATTGCTCCAGGAAGTGTCCATCCTGAAGGAAGACCAGAGAAGGTAACGGAGAGGAAACGGCGCCGGGAGGAGAGTCTCCGAAACAGCTATGAAAAGCACAGTCCGGGGGCCTGAGCGGATTCAGCCGGGGGCACCGCCAACACTCACACGGTTCTTTTAAAATAATGTGGAATAATTAATACTTGTTATTAAAATGATGATTAACTCTATGATTAATAAAGTAATTAATGAAAAAGTTAATATTGTTCAGCTAGTCTCTGCTACTCTGCTTGTTTGTATTTTCACTACATTTTTTTTACAGAAATAAAAGCTGGTGACTCGCATGCAAAGATATAAAGTCATTTTAATCAAGAGAAGGACGAGTGTTCGGATTTATTTTTAATAATAAAAAAAAAAAAGTCTGGGGGTGGGGAGAATATTGTTTATTTTATCGCGGTAGCTCCAGAAGGCCGCAGCGGTCCGGTTCACAGCCTCGGTGTTGCGTACAGATTGTCGCTCGGCTAATGAGATCCTGGTCGGTGGCAGCGCTCCACAGCTCCCCCTGTGTGTTCCGGTCGACGGTGGGATGACATCTCTGTGTTTTTGGGGGGAGGGGGGCAGTGTCTCTCCCTCCCTCCCTCTCTGTCTTTTCTTCCTTTTCTTTTTTTAATCGCCTCTTCTTCACCACCTCTGTCCCTCTCCGCTTTAAAGGGAAAGT